ATGGGGAAGGTGTACTGGTTCCTGCCAGGTCTGAGCCACCTCTGTGCTGGATGTGCTTTTGCCACCTTACAGCTGTGCACTGTCCTTCCCCACCTCTGCTTGATAATCGTGCTTGCCACGGGTCCAGTGGCCACTGCAGTATCTCAGATTGGGCTTCAGAGCCCTGGCATGTATGGCTCATGAGGGCAGTTTCTCATGATAGAGCAGCATGATGCAGTGGTAAAGTACTAGATTAAATTGCTGGAGATCAAGGGCGCCTGGTTGGCTCAGTTGGTTCAACGTCTGCCTTCTGCTCAGGTCATGATCCCAGGGTCCTGGGATTGAGCCCTGTGTCAGGCTCCCTGCTCAGCTGCACCTCCCCATGCTCTCTCTCTCTCTTTCTCAAATAAATGAATAAAATCTTTTTAGAAAACAAAAATAAAAACAAAAAATAAAAAAATAAATTGTTGGAGATCTGGGATTTCCCCAGGCTCTGATGAAATGAGGCTGTGTGGTCTTGGGCAACTCACAGCCTTTCTGGTTGTCAACTCCTTCATCTATGAAATAAAGAGAAGATTAAATAGCTGTTAAGGTCACCCCCACTTGGCAGTCCTGTGATTCCTAATAAAAGAGTTGTATTGCCCAGATTCTGGTTCCAGGGTGAGGGTTGGGATTCACTGGGGTTTGGAATATATGAGTAAAACAGAATTTCAGGGGAGTTGAGATGCTCACAAAGCACCCTCCTTGGGACCTTTCTGAGCTGGGGCAAAAGTGGAACCAAACAGGGCAACACACTTAGGTGAGGACAAGTTGTGTGGAATGTATACTTCGGGGCATTTCTACACGATTAGCATCAATAAACAGGCATTTCTCTGCCTGTCCAACACTGAAGAAGTGTTCATGTAATCTTGATGCCTTTCAAGCATTTGTTATTTGGAAGTAAAGAGGCTAACAACCTGTATTTCAGAAATCTCTCAAGATCCATGACAGGTAGATATTGTAAAAGGGTTAGGAGAATGTCCCTGTGCTTTCAAATAAAAATGGTTTGAAAATTCATCAAGGCCAGAGGAGCCATTGAGGAGAGACAACAGATGGAATGTTTGTGCCTGTTTGAGGATCAGAGGAGAAATGAGCCTCTTCTGACCTGGGCTCTGTTTATCAGAGATGATCACTCCAAATCAGACACACAGGAAAGCCGAGGCTCCTGAGACTCTTGCAGGGCTTGAGGGTGGAGGAGACAGGAGCTGGGCTGGGTGGGCCTCTCACTCTCTGGACAGACTTTTGCCTAGACTCTGGCATCCCTCCTTCCATGCCCTGATACCAACACTCTGTTGTATTTCAGCCACTATATTCTGATGAATATAAGATGAGGAGAAAAGAAATGAGGTGTCAGGGGAAAAAACAGAAAAATGAAAAAAATATATCAGAAGAATGTCTAGGAAATGGCAGAGAAAGGCCTTTTTGGAAACCTGCTATACATTTGTTGAGGCTTTACTCTATGATAATCTTTATGCCAGAGGTACCAGGGAATCTTCTTGGTGCATTGTCAAGTTATAACCCATGTGTAAAATTTATTTTAGCTATGTGGTGTTAAGTGATGTCTGTTAAGTAGAATGGTCACCAGAACCCATCCTGTGATGACAATGGATCACAGCTTAGGTAATTTATTGTGAATGAGAAATTAGTAGCAAAGGCTACTATTAAATGGAAGTCAAAGATAGATGGAGGGGTCCCTGAGACATGGGAGCCTGCTGCCTCATGATTTTACTAGATGCATGGGAAGTGCAGGCATCAGTCTCACTTGAACAGTGATGGGATACTAAAGGTACACCATGGGATTTGTGCCATTACCGCGGATACTTTCCAAGACACAGAGAGATATTGTCATACGGGACTTGTGAATGCCTTGTAATTATTGCTGACTTGTCTCATGCTGTTTTGGGTTTCTAATCTCTTCAAGTATGTTGCCCAAAATTCTTATATTCAAAATTTGTCACATAAGCACACTCTTGTATGCGCACACACACACACAGACACACTTACTGTTTTAGGGCTTCATTGTTTTTATATGATTCTACATACAATAATTGGCTGGGAAAGCCTTAAGGCTGATATCCTGCTCCGGCTTGCTGAGTAAGTCTTAGGCCAGATTTTCAGAATGTTTTTATATTGATTGCCCCACAGAAGAAGCACTTTTCGATGATTTTAATTGGTTTGCTATAACTATGGCAACTATATGTCCTAGATTTTCTAGGATGATCCTGATTTCAAGGACTGATTTAATTGTCTCTATAAGTACACAAATAATAGTCAGAGCATGTCCTCCAATTTTTAGCTCAGAAAACATGATCTTTATATCTATCTTCTCTTCCAGCACAGGTCCTAGAATCTGAGTACTCTGCTCTGCAGCTGAAATGCTACTCAGAAATGCTGGGGGAAAGGCTATGATGAACCACAGAGTCATTCACGTTTCTGGTTGGGGACCAAGAACAGGTCTCTCTCCTTCCTGATACCTCATCATGCTCAGCAGGGAGCCTGCTTTTCCCTTTCCCTCTCCCTCTTCCTGCCACTCCCCCCTGCTTGTGCTCTCTCTCTCTCTCTGTCAAATAAGAAACATCTTATTCTTGGAAAAAATGCCTATTCTAAAAATATTGGCCTATCTGTATCAATTTCAAGGCCAAGAGTCCCTTCCAAAGAAAATTTCTTGAGCTACCCAGAACCTGTGGTCTCCCTTTCTCTCTGGCCACAGCTTACTGGTGATCATCTAACTCAAGGCAGCATTTAATTAGCCAGTATCTGTTCTGTAAGAGTGGACTGGATTCTGTTTTTTTTCTTCAGTTTAAGGTGTTTTTTTTTTTTTTTTTGTAATGTTGTTTGGAAAGGATTATGAATTCTAAAGCATTATTATATTGCCTAATAAGCCCACTTACATGTTTCTATATCATAAAAAGTGATGGCAATACACTACCTCTCATACTTAGACTTTGTTACCTTTATTTTGTTGAAAGAACTCATTTAATAGTTTAAGGACATAAATATATTCAAGATAACTAGAGGTTCCTTCATATCTCTACTCTCTCCTTAAGCTCTTGTAATTAGTTATTTTGATAAGAATTTATTGAACATCTGCTTTGTAGAACCTCCAATATGTACTATTTATTGGAGTAATAAGTGAGGAGGGTGTGTATATGGAGGGAATGTGCCAAAGAAAGGAAAGACATAATCCCTGCGATTTTTAGTTTCTTGTAAAAGGAAGGTTTAAACATATTATACAATTTGAGAATAAGTACAAAGTAACATGCAGTCTCAAAACTGCAAAGTAGTATAATACAATTTGGAAACATATATATATTGAAACTAACAAAATGATGACATGGACTAAATTCACTACTCTGCTACTGATCCCCAGGGACACAGAGATGAAAGAAATAGTCTGGGCCCTACCTAAAGATTCCTACAGTAATAAATCAGCACATAATTGAAACTCAAAAATGTTATCACAATTGAAGGGGTGCCTGGCTGGCTCAGTTGGAGGAGCATGCAACCCTTGATCTGGGGGGTGTGAGTTTAAACCCCATGTTGGATGTAGAGATTACTTAAATAAATAAAACTTTAAAAAAGTGTTATTGCAGTTTATGAATGCCTACGTATTAAGATGATGCTATGCTGTGTTGTGGTTGGTTGTTTTTTTTTTTTTTAAAGATTTTATTTATTTATTTGAGACAGAATGAGAGAGAGAGAGCACATGAGAGGGGGGAGGGTCAGAGGGAGAAGCAGGCTCCCTGCCGAGCAGGGAGCCCGATGCGGGACTCAATCCTGGGACTCCAGGATCATGACCTGAGCCGAAGGCAGTCGCTTAACCAACTGAGCCACCCAGGCGCCCGTGGTTGGTTGTTTTTAATGTTGAAAGGGATTCAAGGAAAGTACTATCATTAGCCTAATTTCCAAATCTGCCTCTGTAAGACTAAAGTTACATAACTAAACTTACATGTCACAGGTATTTAGCAAATAATAATTTTATTTTTTATTTTTTGAAGTAGGCTCCACGCTGTGTGTAGAGCCCAAGGGCAGGCTCCAACTCAGAACCCTGAGATCAAGACCTGATCTGAGATCAAGAATCAGATGCTTAAATGACTAAGGCATCCAGGTGCCCCAGTAATAATTTTAAATGTGTGTGTAGATTACTTAAGTATTATTTACTGGTCTTGTAGAGGTGATATTCTGAACTAGAAACTTTCTAAAAGAGATTATCTAAACTTTGTCTGGTGTAGTTTTAATTCCTCCACTAATTTATTCCATTTTTATCAATCACTTAACTTTTCTTTGCCTCATCCTATTATGGCCTAACCAGCTTGTGCAACTTAAGTGGAAGGAGACACAAGAAAATGAATGATCTGCTTGCTTGGTACAAATAACTTGTTTCTGTTTTCATACATGCAGATTTGAAAACCATATTTAAAATTTGTACTTCACAAATTTTACTTTACAAAACTCATGAGATAAGGCCATAGGTCAAGTTTTTTATTTTTTTTTTTTTTAAGGCTAAGACTAAAATAAATGTTAAATTTTGCCTGAGGTTTTTATTGTTAGACATCTAGGTATGGTTCGTTAAGAGAGAGCATCTCCCTCATTAAACTATGAGTTCTTTTAGGAGAGACACTGTATATTTTAAGTCACCAACCTAAGTTTCTAGAACAATATTTTCAAAGTATGTTTTGTTAGATAAACGGACTTCTTTGAGAGCCGCCCGGTTAGAAACCTTCCGGACAGTCAAGACCACATCTCCCAGAATGCCATGCTCCCCTTGGCCTCTGGATCTGAGGAGAGAATGTCCCAGCCACCATTGCGCCTGAAGGAGACTACAATTCCCAGTACACCCAGGGGCTGCGGAAACCTTGTCAAATAGCCCCTGTTGCCATAGCATCCGGGTCCGGTCCAACCAATCCGGGCGCTCCTACCGAGTAGAGGCGGGTCATTCGTATCTCCGACCAACCGGAGGCATTTTTGTTGTGGCGCGTGACCGGAGGAGGCGGGAGCTGAGGACCGGCGCGTTCTCCTTGCTTCTTGGGGTCGTGGCCTTGCTCCCGCCTTGCAAGGCAAGGGTCCGGGCGCTTCCGCGCGCGTGTGTGCGCGTGGGGCCTGAAGCGCTCGTGCGTCCGGGCTAGGTCTCTGCGGGGGCAGAAGCAGGAGCCATGGGTGGGACCTCCAGCACCCGCCGGGTCACCTTCGAGGCGGACGAGAATGAGAACATCACCGTGGTGAAGGGCATCCGGGTGAGTGACAGTGGGCGGGCAGAGGGCCCGCACCCGGACTCGGACCCCAAACCTCCGACCTTCCCGGGACCCGCTCAGCCTGGTTTCCCCCGTCCCGGCCCCCAGTGTTGTCCGGCCCGAAGCCGAGTTCTCCGCAAAGAAGCTTGAAGTTTCAAGACTTGGGACGTTCCTTCAGAGAGAGTTCCTGGTTGTGTGGCAAGTGCTGAGCACTGTGCTGGGGCGGTTGGGGCAGTGCCGCGTTGAATTAGACTCTCCAGGGGCTCGCAGTCTGGGGTTTGACTGTATTGCTCACTAGTTGTGGGACTTTATATGAAACCGCAGTCTTACCTTCTGTGAAATGGGACTTGTCTTGCTCCTCCTGGGCTCAGGAGCCCCACCCTCGTTTTGCACTGGCCCCGTTACCTCTCTCAAGGTGAATTGGCGTTTTGAGAACGCCTTTATCTGCTCTTGGTCATTTTGTGCTCTCCCTTTGATACCACCCATTGCCGCACACTCACACACCCCGTAGACTTCTGCCTGGGGTGACTTCTAGCTTCTTCGCTTTCACTTGGTGACCCCCTCTTTTCCTCCTCTGTGGCCTGCCGCCTAAGTTTTGGACTAGGCCCCGTTGCTTCGGGACAAGTGTCTGCCAGCCTGACAGGGCCTGAGATGGGTTTGCATATTTCAGGCCGCTGGCGAGTTGTAGAGTCAGTTCTCACTACACGTTACAGAGAAATTATTCACGTCCCCCACCTGTGCTTGACACATAAACTGAAAACTTGGTTTTTCTCTAGGGTTTTTAGTCCACCAGCACTAACTTCATTAACACTGTCTTCGCTGCACCTGAGTCTGGAGCCGCCCGTTTTTGAAAGTATGCTTGAACCTAGTAAATAAAGCAATTTCACTTCTGAAAGTTTTATAATATTTTTAAATTTTTCCTCCTCTGTTACTAGACAACCAACGTAAGTAAATGAAATGTGTAAATGATTTTTAGCATCTGTTATCAGGAAATAAAACTTCTTAAATATTTAAAATGTTTAAAAACTTTTACTCTGAAACTGTTGCCTTGAGAAGAATTTATTAAAGTTTCCTTTCTAGAATCTCAGACTGTTGAACTCAGTTTTTGGTCTGTGACCACCATTTCTTTATATCATATTAATTAATGATAGCACCACCTTTTGTAATAGAATGTCTGATGCTGCATTGCATTGTTGTGGTTTAGTTTGTACTCTTTGGAGTAAAATAAAAACTATCAACTCTGAGTTTTATGCAGAGATTTGTTTAATCTTGCCTTAGGCTTTGACTGTTCCATACCTGAAGGGGAAAAAGAAAAGTAAGGGAGAGCAAAATAAATTTTGGGTGAGAAGACACTTGCCAGAACAATGTATAAATCCATATTCTCTTGCCCTAATACAGACACGGTGATGAGAGCAAACAAAATTAAAAGAAAATTTGGCAACAGCACAGACATTTATATCAAGTATTAGGTAAGATTAAATAGGATGAGTATGACGACTGGGTAGATCTTGGACTAAAATGGAGAGAGTGTTTAAAAAACTTCTTCTAAACTTTTTAAGTAAAAGAAGCTGTGTCTTTTGGCCACTCAACCTAACAGAAATATTCTTTATTTTTGTCTTTTCTCACAGAGTATATTTTATTTATATTATTATAATTCAGGCACACACCGTGCTTCTTTTGACCTCTATGCTTTAGTTTTCTTCAGGATACACCCTTCACCTGGAATGCCCTTGCCGTGTTCTCCCACTTGCTTCAAATCCTTCTTTCTCAAGCTTGATTTGCATCACTGTGCTTTAGTTTTGTCATCTGCAAAATGATGGGCTTGAGTACATCTCTAAGATCTCTGATCTTTTCCAGTTCTGAAATTCTGTGTGTGTCTAGTGGCACTCTACATTTCTTGTAGTCATACTCAGCCCATTGCAATTTCCTCTAAAAATGACACCCTCTTGAATTGTTGAGTCCTGGGGGGTCATCCTGAGTTCTTTGAGGTCCTGTTCAAAAGAGCGTTAGTTTGGAGTTAAAAAGACCTTGGTTTAAGTCTTCAGATTAGACGTTTACTATCTGCAGCTTTGGGCAAATCACTTCTTTATATTTGGTAAGAAGATGAGGTAAGGTATCTAAAGCGTGTAGCACATCGTAGATTTTTAATAAAAAGCAGCTGTTATGATAAGGTTCCTTCACATCCAATATATGAAGATTCTCTGGAGGTGCTATGTAGTTAGTATAGTGGCCAGAGCACTTTCTTTGGAACCTGGCAACCTGGGTTTAGTCCTGGCTCTGCCTTTCACTAGGCTCTATGGCCCTGGACAAGTCACTCTTCATTGTGTTTCCTTGTTCAGTAAGTCTAGATACTGTAGCCTGCTTGTATTACTTATGTAACAAGCACTGCTTGTGAGAAATCTGACATCATGTATACAAGCATTTAGTGTTTTGACAGTGTTTAGTACTTATATGAGTAGTAGCTATTATTAGAGTTATTCAAGGGAATGGATATATAAACTTACATTGAACTTAATTAAAAATAAGAGCATATTGTGCTCCAACAGGTATACCTAAAAGATGTGGACTGGAAAAAAAATAAATAAATATGTGGACTGAGAAGTAGGAGTCCTGCGTTCTGTAGCTGATCACCCTTGTGATTTTTCTTTAGGCAGTTTGTATACTTTTCAGCTCATCTTTGTATTTTTCTTAGCTCAAAACAGTCCCTTAAGATGGACAAAGAGATAAAGTACTTCCACTTCCAAGGAACAGAGTAAAAGGAGAGGAACTCCTTCTAAGTTGCCCTTCTCTAAGAGGTAAAGTTTGGAACCACATGAGACAGAAATAAATCACACCCTCATCTTCATAATACTTTTCTCATCTCTTCCAGACATGTCTTAATCAAACTGACTAAAAGACTAAGACCCATTTTTGTCACTTGGTCTTCCTTCCATGTAGCATAGGTCATCTTCTTTGTTTCCCTCTGAGGCTAAGGGTAAGCAACAATCTTGGTATCATAAGTGAGCCACTGTTTTTGGCTCAGTTGATTAAAACATGGTGCCGATGAGGCGCAAACTTCAGTGTTTGAACTGCGGCTAGGTTCATTCAACTTAGCTGAAGAAAATGTTCCAAATTTCCCCAATTGTCTAATATTTATGTCATCGCTCCTAAGAAATGAGTGTGGAGCAACGATTCACAGACTCATTCACTGCTGGAAAACTAATTCTGCGTTCCACTGATAAGGATAGTAATTTCATCTTCATTTATCTTAATACAGGAAGACTAACATTTAGTAAGCAACATAAGGCTTTCAGTAACTAGGCTGTGTCTATTAATAGATATGTTTTCCCAGATTTTTCTTGCTGAAAATGTCCTCAACGGCTAGCAATTAAAGGACCTACTTACATTTTTAAGTTTAAAGTTTATTCTCACCTACCAGGTGTTATTTTCATGGTATTTATAGCATTTTGTTTATTTCCTTTATCCTTAGCAATTGATAGCTTTCCCTCCACTTGCATAAAATCACCCATATTCTTACACCTGATTCCAACTTCAAATCTGAAACAACTCATGGGTTGGATGAAAGGCCACCCTTTTGCCTTGCCTTCCTCTCCAAGTCTAAAATAATTTCTAGGGGTAGAAAGACCAGGCATTTTCATTACTCATATTACATGTGCTTAATAGGATTTTTCTGAGCACCTGCTGTGCTGGTTTGGAAGGTATGTTTACCACTCAGTCTTTCACTGGTTTATCTGAAACATCAAAGCTGTGAGTGAATTCTTCCAGAGCAAATGTCAACTTCAATGAGTATCATTTTCAAAGTAATATTTATCGTGCTTTCCAGGCATAAATGAATCTCTGCAACTGGCCTTGAAGTTGCAAGCTGAAATTCATAGGAGCCATACATGTAGTAGTGTGGATACTCACATGGAACACAACTAAGGCTTTGGGGAAGTATTGGCAGTTGGGAGCCCCTAAATGAAAAGATTATTTAATGTGAGATGTTGTTGAGGATTCTGGGGAGTGTATATTAACAGAGGCAACAAATCCGGTCAGTCATTGGGAGTGTTGAGGGATGTTGTCGAGGTAATTCAGCTAGCTGGTGGACAGTTGGTCCCTTTCCAGTTTAGATATCTATGACTCTCTTGGGCAGAGTACCGTGTTAAGCTTTCTAGGACTTTTCTTTTTAAAGCTCTAAGATTTTATACAGACAGTAGAAGTTCATTTCCATTAATGGCAAATGCAAAGAAATATAAATGGCAAATTACAAACATAAGCTAAAAGTTACTATATAAATCTGTATATCTTTCCCTTCCCCTGCCATGCCCTTAAGTAAGGATTTAGGAGTAATATCTTCCAAATAATAATGGCAGTTTTTGGAGCCTATGTCTTAAAATGGTAGTTGAAAAAAGCGAACCAATACTCTCACAGAAGATGACCGATGCTACATGGAAGGAAGACCAAGTGACAAAAATGGGTCTTAGTCTTTTAGTCAGTTTGATTAAGACATGTCTGGAAGAGATGAGAAAAATATTATGAAGATGAGGGTGTGATTTATTTCTGTCTCATGTGGTTCCAAACTTTACCTCTTAGAGAAGGGCAACTTAGAAGGAGTTCCTCTCCTCCTTTTACTCTGTTCCTTGGAAGTGGAAGTACTTTATCTCTTTGTCCATCTTACGCAGCCTTCTGTTTCTGAGAATACTGGATTCTAGATTGGTGGGTGGTGTATTTGTGCTCATTTTAGATACGACCAGCCAAGGGGGGTGGGGAGACTTGAGTGGGAAGACTATAGAACATGACCCACATCTTTTTCTCCTCTCTGGAGCACATGTTGGTGTGGTGAGTGGTATAGCCTAGAACTTAGTAAGCCCCATTTACTTAAATCTCACTTTAGCAGCAGTAGAGAATAAGGCAGATAATCAAAGTCAAGGGACTGAATTCTGTGATGTTGACAGGCCCTGGCCCTCTTCTCTTGGTTAACCCTTAGAGTAGAACAGTGTTTCTTTTAGTTTATAGATTATTGT